GAGAGAAACGTTTTAGAAGATATACATTTAAACTTAGAGGAGCTTTATTTTTATTAAGAAATAAGAGATAGAAATACTTTATAGAATCTACTTAAAATTTTAGAAAAGCCTTATAGTAAAGTCTATATAGTACTATCTTATTCTCGAGTTAATAGAATCTTTAGATATATCTTTAGGTAGATCTTTAGGAGTAAAGAATATTTTTACGAAAAATAAATATTTCTAAGAGTATAAAGACTAACTTTATACCTTAAAGAGCTATAGAGAGGAGATAAATAAGACTAGTAGCTTAGCCCGAGATTTTAGCTAGAATAGGTAGTAGTTTAAGGTAATATAGCTTTATATAAAAGAAGGGAAAGTCTTATAGCTAGCTAGGAATAATAGTTACTATAGACTTCTATAAAGTTTATTCTACCTTAAGAATAATAATTAGTATAGCTTTTACTTTACTTATAGTAAGTAGTAGGGCCTATAAATGTAAAATTATTAAAGAAATAGTAGAATATTTACTCTAATTATTAAGTAAAGTGTACTAAAGTAAAGTAAAGGCCTATACGTAGCTTAATCTATCCCTAAGCTCTAGGGCTAAAGACCGACGTAGTAGAAAAACTAATATAGTAGAAACGTATAATTAAGAGAGCTATATAGTATAAAGAAGTATATTAGGAGATACTTTTAGCTTATAGACTTCTATTTCTTTATACCTTTAACTATATATAAGATAAAAAACAAAATATAATCTAGACTATATTTGAAATATAAGTATTTATATATAGAAATAGTACTTATATTAAGTGTGGAGAGAAAATAAAAGTAGCAATAAAGAGAATTAGAAGAAAGAAGTCTCTTAAGTATTATAGTACCCTTTAGATAAGAATAAAGGGTCGACCTTATTACTACTAGCTAGCAGAGCTAGAACCTATATATTAAGTCGAAGTATACGTAGTAATTTAATTAATTATCTTTTTATAGAATGTGTCTTAACTATATAATATTAAGAGCCTGTTAAAGTTCTCTATAAATTATACTGAATCTACTTAGAATTTATTAGAATTAAAAAATAAAACTAATACTTCAGAAGTAATACTAAACTTATTATAACGTAATACTAAGTTGAAAGTAGAAGAAGTAAGTATTTCTTAGTTTCAGACTTTCTAAGAATACTTTATAAACTCTAAAAATTCTAAACTTTAAAATAATATCTCTTTCTCTAGAAAAGTATCTCTATTTATCTTAATAAATAGACTTATAGAGAGAATAATAATCTAGGACCTAGACTAACCTTTAAGTAATATAAGTATAAAGTATTAGATACCTTAACTAAGCTTTTTATAGAACTTAGAATTATTTTACATTATAAAAAAATTTAGAAAACTTTTAATTAAAATACTTCTACTCTTAAGTAAATACTTTAATATGTTTTAAAGAAGCTTAGAGATCTAAATAAGATTATACTAGTAATGTACTAAATAATATAGGTAAGTTTTTATTATAATTATCTTTTTAGATACTACTTTAAGTCCCCGAGAAACTTTAAAATAATATTTATAGCCTATCTACTTTTTAAGCCTCTCTATTTACTTTAAAAGGCTTTTATAGTTTAGAAAATTAAGAGGACTATTAATAAGAAATATAATAATATTTACTAACTAATAGAAAAGTAATATAGATATTAAACAAGATAAATAAAAACTTATATAGTATATATTTATTAGAAGTCTAGCTTTAATAGGTTGGATATCCTATATATATCTAATACTCTTATATAGAAAATAATAGAAGTATAATAAAATAAATAAATAAACAAATAAGCTTCTTTATCTCGATTAGGTAATTCCCGACTTGAATTTAGGAGAGTATATTATATATAACGTAATCTATCACCGAGCGGGCCAAATCACCGAACGGGCCATTTTGTCTTGGCATTACAACTGAGGTGACTACAACCGTTGTTTATTCAACCACACACTTAGTTATACATCTGCTATGCTAGGATATGGTTCAGAAGGAGCATCTCTATCTGTCTGGCAAGTTCGTGAGTTGTGTCCAGCTATTCCGCAGTTTCTACATCGTCGTTGAGTTGGAGGTCCTCGTTCAGACTCAGCTTCATTACAAGTCCTTTTTGATCGTTGAGCACCTATCCCCGCCTGTGCGATTGCCTGTGATGCT